CATATATCGCGATAAAAATTTTTATTTGATTTTAATTCCGATTATAATAATCTTAGCTTTAAATAATATGTGGATAGATAGAGATGTGTATAATCATTTTTAAGAAAATTAAAATTTAAAATATAATATTCAATGATCAAAGTGCGCATATTTTTTTATATGCATTATAGAAACGCCGTATTATTCTCTACATGTTATTTTGATCACGCTTGACTCTTGAAACAATCTTGCTCCGCGTTATGTTATGTTGTTATGTTAAACAACATGATATCTGCATATATAGGGCTTAAGAGTTTGGACTAGCTGGCTGAAAAGGACCATTCAAACTGCGGCTGACGTAAAGGCACCGCAGGAAAGGTGGAAGGCTCTCAGCGAAATTGACGCTGTAAGTTAAAACATTAGATAGACTAGCTAATTAAACAATTTCTTACCTTTGCCTCTCTTTATGGATCAATCTAGGGTATTTGTGAAGAAATGACTTATGAAGAAATTTCCTCGAAATATCCTACGGACTTTGCCGCGAGAGATCAAAACAAATTCTCCTATCGTTATCCAAGGGGAGAAAGTTACGAAGATCTTGTTGCACGACTGGAGCCTGTGATAATGGAACTGGAACGTCAGGGTAACGTTTTAGTTGTCAGTCATCAAGCGGTCATACGGTGTTTACTCGCTTACTTTCTGGACAAGAATGCAGGTCAGTAAAGTGTTTTAATTATAACAATTTATCATCGTCTCATAAGATATTGAAATTTGTTCTTTTGCTCTCTTGATTACTTGCACGCGCAAATCGAATGATACAATCACCGATAATACGTAACATGTCTGATAATACGTAACACGTGATGACGTCCAAGAATGAAGAGATTGGAATGTCGAGATGTTAAACACAACTTTTGGCCTTCAACGTATTAAAATGTGTAGAGAAAAGAAATGATAAATAGTTATGCACGTAAAAGCGGATTATAATGACGTAATTATTTGTTTTGTTGAGCGAAATAATTCATTCTTTCTACACAGTACGCGATTCCTCCTTTCATTCCATTCCATTGATACGGCATGAAAAGCATATATCTAACATAAGATATAAAATAAAAAATTATTTCTATATTATAGTTAATTAATTCTAATATAGTTCATTCAAGTTGTTTTTTTCTTATTTCAGATGAATTACCATATTTAGAAGTACCTTTGCATACTATCATGAAATTAACACCTGTCGCCTATGGTTGCAAGGTGGAGCATATTCGACTACCGATAGAAGCTGTGGATACTCATCGACCGAAACCAAAGGTAGAAATTATCATAATAAAGTCGTAACAACTGTATCTTTCTCCCTCGAGTGCGCTTTACTTGCTGAAAGTAGAGATGGCGAAAGCAAGTATCTTGCTGTTTGCTTGCAAATTTTCCGTTACCAATACTTTATGCCAATAAAATATATAATTCCTATGCGCTGCTTATGTTTTAATGTTCCCAGAATGCCTGACTCTTAGCCGTAGGGGAAAACGGACTATTTTCTTGTATCTAATCAAAACCTCATCCTAGAATCATCTGCATCCGTCAAAAAAAATCACTTTCATAAATTAAAAATTCGTCGCATGCACTTTTCCTATGGACCTGGGACAAATATGTCACTTGTGTGTTTTATTCTAAATTTTATGTTTATATTATGTATATAAAATTGTATTGTTATATATATAAAATTGTCGCATAACGTCAGTTTTGTGGAAAGATAATTATTGTAAAAAGATAATTATTTGTAATCATATTCTTGCTGGATAATTATTAATTTTTAGATTTATCTGTTCATCATTTTTTTCAGAAAGTATAAGTATAAAACATCGACATTGCGGAATCGTGATGATATCAAACACTAATGTGTATTTCTATTAAGCTTGTTTACAGCGATATGATAAGTTTTTATTAAACTTGTACTTATCAATGTGTGTGTGTGTGTGTGTGTGTGTGTGTGTGTGTGTGTGTGTG